TATTGGAAGAAAAAATACTGATAATGTATACAGCCTCAACAACATCAACCTAGAGAAGCCGACTTGTGAAAGAGACCTAGGGGTACTTGTAAGCCCGGACCTACGGCCTAGAAAACAGTGCGTTAATGTTCGAAATAAGGCAAACAGAGTATTGGGATTTATATCTAGAAGTGTAAGTAACAAGAGTGCAGAGGTCTTATTGCAACTATATCTTGCGCTAGTCAGGCTGCACCTCGATTATGCGGTTTAGTTCTGGTGCCCCTATTATAGAATGGATATAAATTCACTAGAGTCGGTGCAGCGAAGAATGACAAAATGATTCTGGGACTTAAACCTCTAGTCAGGATAGGTTAAAGAAACTTAACTTGCATTCCCTAGAAAGACGAAGAGTGCGGGGAGATATGAGAGAAGTATTTAAGTGGGTGAAAGGAATCAATAAAGGGGATATAGATAAAGTTCTTATAATATCCGAGCAGGATAGGACTCGGAGCAACGGATTCAAGTTGGATAAGTTTAGGTTTAGGAGGGAGATAGGAAGAAACTGGTTCACAAATAGGGTGGTGGACGAGTGGAACAAGCTTAGCAACTTTGTAGTAAGTGCGGGAACTCTGGTAAGTTTCAAGAGGAGGCTAGATAGATTCATGGATGATAGAGAGTGGTAGTATCTCTCGACAGGAGCTGCCATGCACAGGCCAACCGGCCTATTGCAGACTCCTTATTTTCTTATGTTCTTATGTTAAGTTAGATTACCTTAAGTTTGGTTAGGGTAAGTTTAACTAGGTTATGTTAGGTTAATTATGTTAGATAAAGGTAAATTAGGTTAGGTTAAGAGAGGGTATTCTTTGTTAGGTTAGTTTATGTTTGGTTTGGTTAGATTCAAGTTATGTTGACTTATATTACGTCAAGTTATGTTTGGATAGTTAGGTTAGCTTTGGGTAGATTACGTTAAATGAGGATAGGTTAGGTTAAGTTAGGGTATGGTAGGTTTAATTAGGGTGGGGTAGGTTAGGTTAGTTTCGGGTATGGTAGGTTTAGTTAAGGTTAGTTAGATCAAGTTAGGTTAGAATAGGTCAAATTATGATAAGTTAGGTTTAGGCAAGTTAGATTCGGTTAAAGTAGAATAGGTTACTTTAAGGCAGGACATTTTAGGTTAGGTTAGGTTAAGTTAGGTTAGTTTAGGTAAAGTTAGGACAGGTTAGGTTAAATTAGGTTAGGTTTGGTTAACTTAGGGCATGTTAGGTTAGGTTAGGTTAGGTTAGGTTTGGACATGTTAGGTTAAGTTAGATTAGGTTTGGTTAACTTTGAACAGGTTAGGTAAAGCTGCTTCGTTCATTTAGTGCGTAAAACAAAGTATGCTATTGTATTCATCTTCGTGGTATTATTTGTACATTATAAGCTCTGTTGTTTTTTCAATACATTTGTCTCTTATACACAGAACTAGAAATACACGAACACCAAGGTTATGTTAACTAACTCATGTCTAACCCATACAGGAAGCATCTATAGAAAATTATTTACAAAATAGTAAATGTCATAATTCGCTGATATTAATATACACTTGGGGCGCCGGTGGTTAGAGCGGTACCGCTCTTGCCTCGCAAGGGAGATGTCACGGGTTCGATTCCCAGGCCGGTGGAAAGTTGTTCGGACACACTTCCCAGCCTTCCTTAGTCCCTGTTCACCTAGCAGCAAAGTAGGTATGCTGTAAATCGAAAGTTGCGAATTCGTATTCAGGGACAAGTTGTTGGAGCTTCCAATAACTTGCTTAGACATAAACCATTGACTCTTCAGGCTTCTACGCCCTTGACTCTTCAGGCTTTTACGCCCTTAACTCATGAGATATAAAGGTAAGCATGAACTTAGCATGCCTCCCTGTTGGACGCTGTAAACGCTTCTGCACTTCACCTTACACACAAGGATGTAGGGGGGTGCCCAATAAAAAAAAAATAATATACACCTCCAGTCTGGTTTGTGTGTGTGTGTTCAGGTAAATGTATACATAGGTTTCTGTATTGTATTTGCATCTTCCGCTGTGTGTCTAGTTGAACTTTGTATACAAAATTGGTGGTAAACGTGACTAATACATAAAGGCATATGGAGGCTAGCTGTATGTATGGGAGTGAGGAAGATGTAGAGGAAGATGTAGTGGAAGTGAGGAAGATGTAGAGGAAGTGAGGAAGATGTAGAGGAAATGAGGAAGATGTAGAGGATATAAGAGGAAACTTTGTGTTGCAGGGGAGGGCGGCAGTGTGACAGGGAGACAGAAGGTGACCAGCGTGGCGGTGATGTTTTACGTCTCTGTACAACTGTTGCTGCCCTTCTCCCACTCCATCACCAAGGTACTCTCACAAACTCTCTCTTTCTAACGGATTTCTAGCATCGCTTTAATATTTTATTTTGTCGCTAATTTGTAATACGATTAGTTTTTCAGTGTTAACATCTTTTTTATTGTTATTCATAATATGAACACCTTACTGCGTTTGAGGATAGACGGTTTGACACAACACTGACCCACATTGTGTTCTCAGAAGAGGGTATAAGAAATAAACTGTTTAAGCTTAAGGTTCAAAAGAGTCCGGCCGTAATATGGTACATCCCAGAGTGTTAAGAGAGTTGTGATTGGAAAATGTCTTATGTGAGTCTTATATTCAAAGGCGATCGTCACTCCAAGAATAATTATGGACCAGTGAGCCTGACCAGCGTAGTATGGAAGTACTAGAGAGCATTATAAAAGATGCCGTGATGGAACATCTACTATGAAAAATCTTGTAAAGGACTGTCAACACAGTTTAATGCCGGGACACTCCTGCTTAACACAATTTTTCAAGTTCCTGGATGCTTGGACACAAATTCTGGAACAGAGCGGTAATAACGATAATATATATCTAGATTTTACCAAGGCTTTCGGCGGCGTACCCCATGTAAGGAGACCTTTCTTCGTGATCGCAAGCAGTGTGTGGTGATTAATGGTACGAAACCGTCATGTGTACCCGTGACAAGCGGGGTACCACAGGGCAGAGTACTGGACCCGTTGTTATTTGTTTGTTTCATAAATGATGTGCAGTAAGCTATACATTCATATATACAAATGTTTGCGGACGATGCAAAATGATTCAAGGAGATTAAGGACCAAATAGACTGTGAAGAGTTACAGAAAGATATCTGTAAGCTTCAAGAGTGGTCGAAGAAATGGCTGCTAAGATTCAATATCACGAAGTGTACGAGGTTGCACCTGGGTCGCACCAACAGTAAGGAGGCATATCACATATTCCAACGGGACGAAGAAACTGCATTAATAGAGACTGGTTGTGAAAAGAACCTGGGTGTGTATGTTGACAATGAACAGAAGATCTTGGACCATTGTGGAAAGGTGAATCAAGCAACTAAACTAGTAGGTCTTATGAGAAGGTCGTTCATATATCTGGAGGGGCCGTCAAGATCTTCAAGAGTAAGGTGCTTCCGTGCCTGGAGTACTCTCACCCCGTCTGGTGCCCGAGATATGCTAGACTCAGTTAATTGAAAACGTCCAAAGATGGGCCACTAGACTGGTGCCTGCACTTCGGCACCTCAGTTATTCAGAGAGATTAAAGCACCTGCAACTGCCTAGCTTATACTGCAGACGGGCAAGGGGTGACCTAATTGAGGTGTATATATAAACATCTTAGAGGGCATTAATCAATCAAGTGTCCACACCTCGACTTGGCGAACGCCCTCCCCACAAGGGGTCACAGCTCAAGGTTGAAGAAGAAGCCACAAGTCCAGAAAACTGTGAGGGCAAACTTTTCGGAGTGAGGATCGTGAACTCTTGGAACATTCTAACAGAGAGTGTTGTGACGGCACCGAGTGAGAGCTCTTTCAAGATCAGACTTTACCAATACTGGAGCAGGTTCAGATACATTTAGGAGCCAGTGCATACCTAGTACTTGCCAACAGTATAGTACATAACAGAGATGTGGCCGACCGCTGAAGCGGCTAACAAGTCGATCAGTGGCGAGGAGGATAAACATAAAAGTAATAATGTTAAGAGGTATTATACTGGGTCTGGCACTAGGCTCTTCTCACAGAACTCATATCCTTAGGTATCCAATATCCTATGACTTCCTGAACTTCCTCCTTTCTCTCTCCCATCCTGACAACTTTCTTATCCATGCTGAAATGCCTCAAGGCTCAGTTCTTGTTTCTATTTTATTCTTACTCCATGGTAATGACTTCTCCATTTCTTCTTGCCGTTGTGTTCATGGTCACTTGGTCAGTGTGACAGTGAAAGAGTACAACACTCACCTCCTCGTACAGTCTCCTTTAGTTTCAAATTCATTATCATTTCCCATTTTTATTACTCACATTTGTCATGTACGATGTTACCTGCCCCTTACGTCCTCTCGGCTGGCGTCCAACCCACCCAACACGACCTGTCAAATATCATGGCAGTAAGTTCTACTGTTTCACAACGGGACCAGTTTCTCACAGTTTGCTTTAAATGTACAGTATCTCAAAAATATTATGAGGCCATGAATGATAGTTATTGGGACATGCAATTGCTTTGGTATATAGGTTAACATAAGTAATGTAATGTGTATTTACTTCGGCGTAATTAATATGATGTTCGGTTACCAAATACAGTCGGATCCGTATGGCACAGAGTCACGCATACCAACACTCCCAGGACATCACGAGTTGCATGTAGGATTTCGGAAGTAATCGGACCCATCTTGGCAGATAATTTCCATTTGAGATACTGTAAATTTATCAAACTTAATTATCTTTTTAATGAGTATTTTGTGTCCTCCTCTTACAGGGTTATAATACCTGGACCGACGGACCTTATGGGTACAGCTGGGACATGATGGTCCACTCGTGGGACACCCTGCACGTCAAGGTCACCGTCGTCAGGAGTGGCACAGGAGAAAAGCTCTACCTCGACCCTAATGTGGGTGCCGTGATTGGTAGGGTTAGGTTAGGTTAGATTAGGTTAGGTTAGATTAGGTTACGTTAGTCAGGCTATGTTAGGTTATACTATATTAGGTGAGGCTACGTTATTTCAGGTTAAGTCATGTAATGTTCTTTTACACTTTCCACCGTTGTTCAGCATTCTTCACCATTATTCAGCAATGCTCCCCATTTTTCAATATTTCGATGTTCCTCATAACTGCTCATTGGTATTCAGAACTGGTCACAGTTGTTCAGGAGTGTTACTTAGATCTGATTTGTTCATTGTTTTTCTAAAGTATTCACTATTGTTCAGGTGTATTCACTGTCATTCAGACAATTCACTGCTGTTGAGAAGTGTTCACTGTTGTTTAGAACTTTATTCAGAAGTTGTTCAGGTATGTTCAGAAATTTTCACTGTAGCTCAAAAGTTTTTACTATTGTTCAGCAGGTGTGGGTGAGAAACACTAGGTGGACGGGACACGTCGACCTGGCAGTACAGTACGGCGAGTGTGTGAAGCAGAGGCTAAAATCCAAGGGTCTTAACATTTCTGCTCTTTATCTGGACGTCTGGAAGTCTCTCAATGGCAGGTTCCAGCAGCGAGTCTTCCAGCCTAATGTAAACATCCTGGAAGCTCCTTGGTCACCTTGGAAACAGGTATGGTAACGCTGGTTTACCTGTTACTGAAGCTGTTTATGGCAACTCCACTTAGGTGGATTACGTAAAAACTAGTGTTTAACTCTGAGAAGCTCCTCAAGATTAGGCACCCTAGCTAATTTCACCTGATGAATAACCACCCATATGCTAACCTAACTTGACCTAATCTATCTTAACTTAATAACCTAGCTTAACCTAACCTCAGGTACTCAGACCTAACCTAACCTAACCTACTGTAACTTAATAACCTAGCTTAACCTAACCTGACCTACTCAGACCTAACCTAACCTAACCTACTGTAACTTATACTTGCGAATATGCCATGAGTTAAGTGGTAAAGATGTAGATGTCAGTAAGAAAATAATTGAGTTTCTTCATGGTCTGATTACCTGTATTGGGACATTGACTATCTCCCATACTCTTACTCAAGACATTCTATCCTCTTTTTCCCCACATATTGTCAATAATAATAATAATAATTAACGGTTTATTGAAAAAGTTCTGCAGCCAGAAGGCTGAAAATATACATTGGGCATAAATGACTTATTACATACATTGGTGGTTTTAACAAAAGCCTTCATTAGAGAAAGGTAAAGGAACATACAGTGAACATACAGATTAATGTAGGTGTTGAACAGCAAAAACGTAGTGTAGTACATGTAACTCCCTCCCAGATGGTGTTAGGAGGGACCTCACGTGGTGTAGTAGTTCCCTCACAGATGGTGTTTTGAGGGGCCTCACGTGGTGTAGTAATTCCCTCACAGATGGTGTTATGAGGGGCCTCACGTGGTGTAGTAATTCCCTCACAGATGCTGTTATGAGGGGCCTCACGTGGTGTAGTAATTCCCTCACAGATGTGCTGGTGAGGGGCCTCACGTGGTGTAGTAACTCCTCACACATGGTGTTATGGAGGGGCCCCACGTGATGTAGTAGTTCTCTCACAGATGGTGTTATGAGGGGCCTCACGTGGTGTAGTGTGCCCCCACAGATGGTGTTATGAGGCCTACGGTGTAGTAGTTCTCACAGATGGTGTAAGAGGGGCTCTACTGTGGTGTAGCACTCCTCACAGATGGTGTTATGAGGGCTCCCATGTGGTGTAGTAATTCCCTCACAGATGGTGTTATGAGGGGCCTCACGTGGTGTAGTAACTCCTTCACATATGGTGTTATGAGGGGCCTCACCTGGTGTAGTAATTCCCTCACAGATGGTGTTATATGAGTGAGGTGTGGTTCCAGGCCTTCCTATCGTAGACGGATTAACATATCGCTGGTAGTTGGGTCTCACGGGCCGTTATCACTGGGTACCTGGGACCTCACTGTGTGAAAGGTCAACTTGGGTACCACTGTTACTGTTGAGTTGTTCTCACTGACTTAAGCACTGTTCACCACTGTTCACCTCTGTTTGACACTGGTTCCATTTCTTTCCTAAATGAAATAGTAACTTCTGGCGTGAACTTGTTGATATTCCGGTGGGGAGTAGGGTTCAGGGGAGGGAGTTGGTATGGGCCAACATAACAGTTGACCTGGCTGCTCTGAGAGGAGCGCCAGGTACGTCTTGACCCTTCAGTGTGTGTGTGTGTGTGTGTGGGGTGTGTGTGTGTGTGTGTGTGTGGTGTGTGTGTGTGTCTGTGTGTGTGTGTGTGTGTGTGTGTGTGTGTGTGTGTGTGTGTGTGTGTGTGGGTGTGTGCGTGTGTGTGTGTGTGTCTGTGTGTGTGTGTGTGTGTGGGTGTTTCCATAGTTTCACTCAGTCCAGGGATCGAACCCGGGACCACTAATAATTACACCACAAGTCACTTAGAGACATTCACCCAATAAACGTGTTCTACTCACACACACACACACACGGTCCCTGAAAACGACCTCTTAATCTGCCTGGTATGAGAGTCGCAGCCTCAGAGGACCAGTGTACGGATCGTGTATGAACCTGACCAAGGTACACTTGTGAGCGCCAACCTGTTGTATGCAAGTGACAGGTTCCATTATATAGGTGGCGTGGTGTCCACCTGACTCTAGATTGTGGTAGACTTTGTGCTGAGTTGTGTTGTGTTGTGTTGGTGCACCGGCGGCCACCACGGTCTTGATGTAGCTTTCACTGTGAGTCAGTCTGTAAATACAACACCTTTTAGAAGTTAAGATAATTTACTCATTTGTTTACTTACACCTGTACGGTCATAGATTCTCCCCTGCTTATACCCGGCTGTAGAACCAACCACACATTGGCTTGTCAAATTTACACCGAACCTAACCTAACCTAACCTCAGCCAACAACATATATGTGGTGGTTAGGTTTGGCTAGGTTAAGTTAGGTTAGATTAGGTTAGGTTAGGTTAGGGTGTCTAACCCCCAGATGACAATAATTTGGGGCTAATCATTATGTAACCTCATTTATATATGTAGTTATACATACACTCATTAACATCAACAACAACCTCGTTAGAAGAGATTTATTGACGGTTATTTAATATGTGGGAACAAATAGTACGATTTAATTAATATTAATGTAGCATATAAACACCTGTTGATTGGCCGAGGCTTACAGGTCACGTTAGTGGTGTAGTAATGATGTGTGCTGCTGCCTTCAATAGTTACTAACAATGGGCAAGTTAATTAGATGTCAAGATGTGTTTATGTCAACACTTCTTGATAACATGAAAGGTATAATGGCTGCCTAATGTGAACAAGTTTAGGGTGGCTGTTCTTCATGTGATTCTTTTGAATTTCCAATATAGTCAGACAATTTGTTTATTTATCTACCACAACTTAAGAACCTCTCGCTACCCGACAAAATATTATTGCAAACTTCTTATGAGAGCAATTCAGTAGTAAATGCTATGTGTATGTGTAATAAATTCAATAGAAACGGGATATAACTTTTCTAGCGTGGTTGGGTCACTACTGCGTCGTTGCCAGCCGTACGACACGGGTCCATATCCTATTGTGACTATTTCGCGTAGAGATGAGAAAAAAATATTACCACAGAGAAATAGTTATTGCAGTTAATAAGCTGGATGTCATTACAATAAGCACAGCGATCACCTCCTGCTACAGTGATCTCAGTAAGTCAAGAGTCACAACGTTATTTGAGGCTTCAATGTTTTTCGCTCCCAGATTATTGTGGGATTCGGTGAAATTGAAGATGTTTTTAAGGTCATTCACTGCGTAGTCTAGCTTAGGCACCAACACTTAGAAATAAAATTAAGGGACAGATATCTAAATTCCAGTCAGTCAGTCAGAACACCGAGATAAGAGAGTCGTGGCTCTGAGGTGAACAAGGGGATTTAGGGCAAGGTATAGTTATGAAGTGGGAAGTACAGAAGAAGAATGACAGCAGGTGGGCTTTCCACCTTACGGAGGCTGGTTTATGGCTTAACCTGTGACAGACGCCCCTCAGTCCTCCAGGGGCAAGGGAGGTTAGATAAACTAAGCTAAGCTAAGGGAATGTGCTGTTTTGGGGTTTGTTGGAGGGTCCCTTCAGGTCCTTGTGTTGCTGATAGTGTAAGGAAAGGTTTTATGGTAGTCGATGGCAACTCACTTCCTCATGAGTTGCCGATTTTCATTTTATTTCACTTCTACATTTAATTCTTCTATGACAAATATTTAAGATGTTAATACGAATAATTTGATTAAAAAAGAAGCTAATTTTTGGTTGTCTGTTAATTGCACATATATATATATATATATATATATATATATATATATATATATTACTTTATATTTTTTACGTATTTGTTTTAATTATTGTTGTTGATATAACGTGTAACATTTTTTTTAACTTGGTACGCATTTCAGAATCTAAGTATAGTCTTTAAGAATGTACATTGTAGTCAGTTCTTTCATTCGACACATACCTAAATTTCACGAGTAACACATCTCTTTTTAACATGATGTATAAAGGCCATTTAATATTTCCCGCCCCCGTTCATGGCGCGGGGTGTGAGGGACTGACTGTCCACACCGGCCGCCACCGTGGAAAATAACATCCACGTGTTTATTTCGCAGCCGAAGGATCTATTTATTTCAAGTATGGTTTAAGGCTATCAATAACCGATTCTTGACCACTCGTGTGTTTTTTTTAAGAATATTGAGGTATTTTTAAAGATAAATTAAGTAATAAGAGTATCTGGCTGTGACGTGGGAGGGAGGGAGGAGGAATGTGTCGGCTTCATATATCTGCAACTCTTGTCTGCAATAAAATTATATCAGCCTCAGTAATGAATTCGTATTAATGAAATACGAAATCACTCTAAAATATATATCAAAGCGGTATTTCATGTTTTTTAGATGAATTGGGAAATACGACATTAATTTATAGACGATAAGCACAAACATGTCTGCGGAAGGAGCGTTGACCAATCAGAGGCTACGCAGGGATATCAGTAGCCAATCAGGAGTAAGGAGAGTGGTGAGTTCAAATCTCCGGCAGCAAAAGGAGGGCAGCGCTTCTCCGTCCACCCCACGGGAGATTTGTATCGGTTTCTTTTGTTTTTTAATGTTTATATTCCAAATAACGTTATTAACTGTGTTTAGACTTAAATCATATCATCATCAGTGAGTGTTTTGTTAAGTTTTGTGTGCGAGAGAGACTCATAAGTTGGAGAAATTAAGATTTTTAAAGCAGAAATTTGGGAAGATATTGAGAGTTTAAAGAAGAGAATCATTATTGACAACATCCGGACAGTGTGAGACACAACACACTGTGACCTTTACCTCTAATATTCTTTAATTTTTAATAACTGATGAATTTAGTCTTCCAACTCGCACAACTTGCATTATTTAGATGCAATAATCACCACGGAAGCGGATAGGTCGGGTAAATTTAGCACCGAGGGGACTCGTTCAAGTTACACAAAATGGCCGACGGCTTGAAATGATTCGCAGTTGTATGTCTTATTATTGTTTATAGTTCAAGATTACTAACCTTCCTACGCGCTTAAAGCCCGTCGTTGTTGAGGCGCAATAATTATAATAAGAAGAAGAACAACAGCAGTTGTCCTTACACCAGGCAGTACTTGGTGATGGTGAATTACTGGCGCCAGTAACTCACCATGTAAACCTCCTTTTGAGTGGTTAATATTTTAGTAATTCAAACTAGGGCTGTCCAAT